CCGGCCGGCCGCCCCCCGCCGCGCCCTCACCAGCGTGAAGGCGTCGTAGGCCTGCGCCAGCTCCTCGGTGCGGTACTGCTCCAGCACCACCACGCCCTGCAGGCCCGCGCTGCGGCGCCGGGCGCAGCCCTCGCAGTGCACCAGGTACGTGTTGCGGCTGCCGTTCTCACTCGTCACAAACAGGATGTTGAACACCTCCACCTGGGACAGTTAGGAGGGGGCAGTCATGGGCAGGGAGGGCCACTGTGGGCACCTTGGGGGAGCAGGAGAGGGAGGGCGGGCCCACTCACATCACACTCGTTGCAGTAGTAGGCAGGCTCGTCCTTGACCCGGCCCTGGTAAGCGATTTTCTTCCCTGCCCGCACCAGACTCTCCCGTTGCACCTGGCAGTGCTTCATGGACTGCAGGAGGCAGAACCTGGGGAGCGGTGAGGTGGCATTGAGGCAAGGCTGCCGGCAGCGGCAGCGGCAGCGGCGAGAAGGACGGGCAGAGTCGGAGCAGGGCGTTTGGGCTGGGCGCTCAGTTCCCTGAGGTTGCAGTCCCATGGCCCTCCCCTAGAGGGCTCCCCGCTTCATGCCTGGCTACATCCCCTGTCCCGGACATCTGTCACAATTGAAATTTCGTGTGGTTTTTGTCTATTTGGATCACTGGGAAAAAAGTGGTCATTAGAGCAGGGACCTTGTCAGCCTCCCCAGCAGGTGAAGAATGGGGGCAGAGTCAGATAGGAAGGAGGACAGCAGGGACCAGGTCAGGTGGAGATGGGCTCCCACCCAAACAGGGCCCTCACTTGATCATCTTGAACAAGTCGGGGTCGCTGATTTTAACTGTGCGAGCCACGTTCCAGGACACATGAATCATGGGCACAATGGACTTGACGTTCTTCACCTCATTCCACTCATATCGTTCCAGGGCCAGCTGGTACTGATAGGCTGCGGGGCAGAAAGGGTATCGACAGGATTCTCAAACAGCCCCCAGCCATGTGTTCTCTCACAGCTGGCACCCTTGGGCCGGCCCGTGGCTCACTCGGTAGAGTGCGGTGCTGATAACACCAAGGCCCCGGGTTCGGATCCCATATAGGGATGGCCGGTTCGCTCACTGGCTGAGCGTGGTGATGACAACACCAAGTCAAGGGTTAAGATCCCCTTACCGGTCATTTTAAAAAAAAAAAAAAAAAAAAAGATGACAGTTGGCACCCTTCAGACCCCACCCCACTCCCACTCCCTATGGGTCTCATTCTTCATGCGCCCTACCCCCTCATTACTAACTGGCCCTGCACCAAGCCATCACCTGGCCCCACCCTCTCACCGGTGAGGGGTCCCACATTCCAGGCGATGTTGTTGCACCAGCCGGTGGCCTGCACCCAGTGCACAGTCCCTGCGTTAATCCACACGAGGTCTCCGGGGCGCTGCACGAAGCGGTACACAGGGATATTGGAAGCATAGAGGTCATCCAGTATTGGCCACCAGGAACCTGTCAAGTAGTCCACGCCGTGCCTGCGGTGTGGTCACAGGGTCAGGTGGGAAGCTGGGGACCGAGAGACGAGACGCGACAGTGACTAGCAGGGGGCTGGCACGCACCGGTCGCAGAAGGCGCTAATGGTCTCCCAGTAGTGCTCGTGCACCGCAAACCACTCGCAGTCGCCAGGGCCGATGTTGATGTTGACAGAGCAGAAGTTGTTGTTCTCTTGATGGCCTGCAAGGGGCGACAGAGAACGGCATGGCTGGCTCGTTCGGTGCCTGAGCTCCCGACAGCCCCACCCTTTCCCCTCATTGGCCAGCGACTCAGGCCGCCGCCAGCCCCTCCCTCCAGCGCTCCTGGCACCCGCCCGCAGGCCAGTGGCTCACCTGGCGTTCGGCTGCCGGGGACCTTCATGTACAACTGCACGGTGTTCATGCCCAAGATGGTGTGGCCCACGTGGCTCAGCATGTTGCCCGTGGATGTGACCCGCATGAAGGCGGGCAGTTTCAGCAGCTCCTGCAGCTGGGGCTTCCACCTGCGGTGTCCAGGGTGCAACAAAAGTGAGTGGCTATCCCCAACTCTGCCCATGAGCACTCCTGTCCCAACTTTGCAGGCCTCAGCCTCACTGACCTCTTGGCATCGGACAGGTCGATGTTGGTGCCAAACTTGATGATGTGATGATTCTTCGGGTCTGGTGCACTGCTGTTGGGGTAAAGAGCACAGGTTAGTGGAGAACCAAAGAAAGGGCAGGAGTCCTAAAGGAGGCACACAACTGTACTGTACCTAGGAGGGGTTCCTGTGGTGCTGTCGGGCTCCTCTGACTCTTCATCTTCACTCTCCTTCTCCTCCTGCTCAGCCAGAGGGGTAAGCAGGCCTGGGTCAGTGACCTTCCGGGAGCCCTCCCACCACCACCCCTGATCCCAGCACCCGTGCCTGTGCTCATGCTCGCCCCTCACCTGCAGGGACTCCTGGAACGATGAGGCCTGGTACTGTGCATACTTGGCAATGGTGGTGTGGGAACGGGAGCTCTCACAGGGCCAGATCTGTCGTGTGCCCGTTAGATCCCAGTTCTCATCTGAGGGCTGCTGCACCTGGGTGCGCACCTCCACGGTGTGTTCACCACTCGCCTCCACCAGCGTCTTGGTGGAGAAGAGGCCCAAGTCTGCAAGGGAGGGCCGAGCAGGGCGTCGGGGCAGGGGCAGAGGCAGAGTACAAGTATGGAGGGCCCAACTCACCCTTTCCCTTCCTACTCCCCAGGTCTCTGACAGCGTGGACATAGGCTTAGCAGAGTGGACATAGGCTTAGCAGAGCTCAGCCCAGGAGAAAGAGGCAAGAACCCTAGCCTCACAGGAAGCTGGGAGGGCTGGCCTTGATCTGGTCCTCACCAGCCCCCTTCCTCCTGCAGCTGATCCAGGCCTCACCCCTCGACCAGAGTTGTCAGGTGTGCATAGCACCTGGCACATAGTAGGCACTCAATGAATTGCAGCTTATCACTGCCATTGGATCCAATTAAAGACTTAGTCAAGTGAAAGCCTGGAATATACCTCAAGTAACTCAGTGAGGGGAAAGGAGGCCATATGGGTATAAAGGATACAAGATTGATTTTTATATTTCTATAGGGTTTCCTCCTCTTTTGAATGTTTGAAATTTTGCACAACAAAAGGTTGAAAAAGAGAGAGAAGGCCCCAAACCACGGGTCTTCAGGGGTTTTCTACAATCTATTCTTCTCATCCTTAGTCACCAAGAAAACCAAAAGTGACTCTAACCAGGCCCTGAGATATACCCCCTTCTCACTCGCCCACTGGTGAGGACAGGAACAGATGAGAAAAGCCTGAGGCCAGCTGACCCATCCACTCGAAGCACTCCTCAAATATGGCCTATGCACCACTGGGGAGAGCTCATTATAGCCACTGTCCAGGGTCTTCAAGTGTGGGTGTTCTCGGAGGGTCCCACATGCCCCAGACACTCACGGTTCTCCCCACACTTTCTGCACCCCAACACTCACTGAGCCGCAGAGAGCCCGCCAGGCCCCGGATCACGGTGATGGGATTTCGAGGGTCCGTACAGAACTGCAGCAGCACCGGCGAGAAGGCGTCACGTTTACTCTCCAGCTGAGACAACCAGGACAGACTGGGGTCAGAGCCCTGTCCCAGGCTCAGAGCCCACCAACTGCCCCCAACACCATCTTAGCACCCACTGGCAGGGGGGGGTTGTGAGGACAGATGGCACACATACATAGATGCTGGGCGTGGGGGGGTTGAGTTTTTCCCGGGGCAGCTTCTCCTCGGTGTTGATCTTCGGTTTCACAGACTGGGCAGGGGAAAGGTAGGACTCTCGAAACTTCCCTTTCACCTTGGCATTCCTGTGGGAGAAGAGTGGAATGAGGACGGAAACATCAGAGTGATGGTGGAAGGGAGCTTTCCTTGGGCCAAGAAGGCAGCCTCGTGGGTGACAGCCTCCTACTCACTTGCTGGCACGCACAACATCAGCAGCGCAGTGGCTGATGGTGAGGTCTGCCATGCGCAGCCGCCGCTCTTCCACCTCAGAGGCGATAAAGGTCTCCTTGTCACCACTCTCTACCTTGATAAGTCGGATCTTCAGCTCCTTGGGGGGCCCCTCACTAAGTGAGCGCAGCTTTAGCATGTCAGCCCGGCTGACGCCTGGTGGCCCTGGAGCTTCCTCCCGAGCCTTCTTTCCAGGAACAGGGGCTGATGGGGGTGTGGGCTGAGCAGAGGGTGCAGGAGCTGGTGGAGGGACCACAGTTGTGGATGGTTTGGCCTTAGATGCCCCGCCAGGGTCAGGCCGGACCTTCTCACGACCCTGGATCTCCTCGCTCTGCAGGTCCAGGTTCCCCAGCACCCGGCGGCTCTTTTCTTTGGGGGCCTTGGCCTTGGCCTTTGCCCTGCCCTCACGGGGCCGCCGACCCACACTGTCCTTACAGGCCCGCCTGTGCCGCCGATGCTCCTTCTGGTGCTCCTTCTGCCGCCGCTTGCTGCTGCCTGGCCCTGCTGCTGCCACCACCCCACCACTCTCCTCCTTGGCCTGTGTGGGAGGCAGCAGTCGTTCAGTCCCACTGTCCACTGGGTCTGCTGTGTCCACTGGGTCTGCTGGGTCAGTGGCACTCCGGCCCACCCGCTCCACAAGGGTCTCACAAGCCCGACTGATCTCTTCTAGCACCTCAGACTCAGAGCGAGCAGGGGGCAGCGGCAGGGGTAGGGGCGGCTGGGTGGGGGTCATTGGGCCTGGGGCTGGCTCTTCACCCGCCCTGCGCTCCCGGGCCCAGGGCCCACCTGAGGTAGAGAACTGAGATGACGAGGAAGCGGAGGGCTGTGGGGAGCCCTGAGCGCTAGGGGCCGCTGAGGTGGGCAGTGGGGCGGTAGCACCTGATGGGGGACCAGGGGAATACTGAGTGGTGGACAAGGGCCCAGGCCGGGTGGAAACAGCTGCTCCAGTCCCCCGGTAACAGTACTTTTGTCCCTCCAGCACAGAAGCCAAGGATTTGAGCAGGCTGGCTGGGGTGGCTGGTGGGGGCGGGGGCTGC